CTTTTGTCGTGCGGCGACGTCGTCGGCCAGGAAATCACCAGGAAATTGCCCAGTACCCTGCTCTGCCGCCCGAGGACTCGCTGATATGAACAGTTATAATATCCTGAGAGCACGGCTTGGACTCGCCTTTTTTTCAATGCATTAAAACATAAATAGGTCAGCCACTGTTTTGTTTTTATCAAGATGCAATCTGGAATTTTTCCTCGTCATAGACGGGTTACTTATAAATTTTAGAATGAATGTATCGTAAAATATAAAATGTTTTGCAAAGAAATGCAACAAACAACAATTAATCATTGTTAGGATCAAACGCAAAGTAAACAATATTTTGGAGCCGAAAACTAAATGCACAAAGACGGAGCAATTTATAATGCGACCAATAAATCCTCCTTTTGGACAACCACATCTACAAATACCGCCATTTTTAATCAACGAAAGTGCCACAAAAGACTTCGTATTATCTTACATAGAGACGTATCAATTTCACCTTCAACTTTTTGTCATGGATATTTTTTAGCTGGTCAAATGTCAATTGAAGATTCTGTAAGTGAAACGAGTTGTCCCATAAGCCTCTTAAACACTCCTACACTTACATCCAAAAGTCTTGTAAAATGCTAGGAAATCAAAAGCAAAATATACTGCTTTACAGTATGCAAGGAAGGTGGCGGATTAAACTTTAATTTTGTTGTAAACTATTCCTTTATTTTTCGTTTGAATGTTCATAAAGCCACCCGCACCGGCTTCGCAAAGGTTGAATGTTGATACTAATTTTTCCACTATAAACTGGATGACACATAAAAATCTGACTAAATATTACTATCGTTTGTTTACACCATGTTATTCGTATTCCACTTCGTACATATATTTACAATGTTTCGTGAATTAAGTAGAGGGTGGTGGAGGTGGAAACGTGTGGATGTTTTATTTTACAGGAGAGGACTTTCATCAAATAATTTTTCTCGCCCAGGGTAAGGTGAGAGGTAGACTCTTGCTGACTAAAAACCTAGCCCTTCCTTCTCCTGGTTCAGGTTGATGCTGTAGGGCCTTATATAGCGCTAGCACCGTAACCCTGCTTGAACATTCTCTTGAGACCCATCTACGGTGGTCTACCTACTTACCTACCTACGGCCGTTTAAAGAGCGCGCGCGGAACGCAACGCACCTAACGATCGGGTCTGGTTCTGGTTGGGTAGCGAGCTATCCTTACTCGTAGTCAGCAGACCCGCGCTTGCGGTGGCCCGAGATCGTCGCTCGATCCCCAACGTCTCAACTCAACTCAACTCAACTCCTTCCCTGGCTGGGGTGGGAGGATACTTCCTTTACACGCTCCGCATCTTTCTTTGTATGCATTACTGCTTCGCAGAGAGAAGAGATGTCTACCTAGTTCCTCCCGCTTCGCCCGATGGCCTCGACTGAAGCCGGGCACGAGAGGTAGCCGCCAATCAAGTGGTGGCTATCATGCAAGGATCTGAAGCATGTGTGTGCGAGTTCGAAACATGTTTATGTCCATGGGCGGCGCCGATAGCTTACTGTTGGATAATACGTCTGCTCGCTTGCCCACCCAGCATCATATAAAGAGATTCAGAAGACTTGGTAAAAACTTTAGATCACAAATCACCCAAAACGACTACAAAAATAAACCATCAGTAAATCATGGTACCAATTTAAATCTGTTACGTAACTATTAAAGTTTGGAACGGCGATCCGAAGCCAGCACACTGGTTGGCAATCCATGTGCTCATACATAAATAGTTTGGACCATACAATACAGCTTTTACGAAAACTAACCGCTTGCTCGGCCAGCCATTAAAACTTAGTGGATGGCAACTTTTGTCCGATGTTACCCAATTTTAGTTACAAAAAACTTTCATCGGCATACATTATTTTTATTTGGATTGCGATATTGATAGTTTATTTTACTTATATAATTTTGTGTTACGAATTATAGTTCTAAGGTAATTCTGAATCGCGACACATACTCGTATACGTCGCAATTATATATACATAGCGCCTGTCCAATTTATACAGGCCTTCTTTGCTTTTTCTAAATTCATCGATCTAATCATACTATACCCGTTCGTCGGTGGTCAAAATACTGTTGCTTTTGATTGATTTATATATTTTTTTTTACTTTTTTCTGGTTACACTAGCTAGGTATTCATAAAAGTTGCCGTCTATAACGTTAAATAATTATAAAAGTTTTCGGAAGTTCGCAAGCCTATTATATATACCCATTATTGGTATAAGACTAATGAGACTTTACAATCGAAAAACATAATTATTTAGAACAAATATCTATGTTAGACATAGAAAGACTATAAAAGTCTTGCAGGCAAGCATACCATGCATCACAAATTCGTCTAATATTACCACATTACAGTTCTTCAAACTTCAATTTAAATGTGATCTTAAACATTCCTATATTGCCATTTATAGCCAACTATCTAAAACTGTATTGCAAACAGTGTAATAAAATATAACAACAGTTACTTACTTTATTTCATAGGATTATAAGAAATCAATATAACTAGATCTGTAATTGATTTAGCTAGAAACTTCGAGAATTATTGTGAATCGAATTGTTTATGTAATTGAAATACATTTGTTACCAGAAACTATTTGAGAAATTGAGAAAACATTTTAGCTAGAATGCATTGTGATTGAAATCAGATGCCAGGACGGTATTGCCTCTTGTTAGTTAACGTTAAAGTTGGTGTTATAGATTTTGAAACACTTTGGTTATCAATCACATTGTCAGAGGGATAACTCTACTGCTAATTCAAATAAAATTAGAATATCCTATCCCACTATCCTTCTAATATTATAAATGTGGAAGTTTGTGGACATGTGTAGATATATGTTTGTTTTTAGGGTTCCGTAGCCAAAATGGCAAAAACGGAACCCTTATAGTTTCGTCATGTCCGTCTGTCCGTCTGTCCGTCTGTCCGTCTGTCCGTCTGTCACAGCCGATTTACTCGGAAACTATAAGTACTACAGTGATGAAATTTGATGGGAATATGTGTTGTATGAACCGCTACAAAATTATGACACTAAATAGTAAAAAAAAGAATTTGGGGTGGGGCCCCCCATACATGTAACTGAGGGATGAAATTTTTTTTTTCGATGTACATACCCGTGTGGGGTATCAATGGAAAGGTCTTTTAAAATGATATAAAGTTTTCTAAAAAACATTTTTCTTAAAGTGAACGGTTTTTGAGATATCAGCTCTCAAAGTCGTAAAAAGTATGTCCCCCCCCCTCTATTTTTATAACTAAGGGGTATAAAATTCTAAAAAAAATAGAGGTGATGTATGCTAATTAACTCTTTTAACGATTTTTGGTTTGATCAAATTATCTCTTATAGTTTTTGAGATAGGTTGATTTAACTGTAATTTTGGTTAAGTTATTGTGCTTACACTGAAAACGATGGCTGAACCTTATAAGATAGATCAAAAAATATACTACAGTATTGTACACCTTTAAAAATCCGCGATGATATAAAATCTTTATAATGTAGGTACTTTTTACGAGAAATATTAGCTTATTATTAATATTCATACATAAAAGTACAAGGCAAAATATCGGGAGAGTTTAGGCTCCATTCACCAGGTGTATAAATTGACATAATAAGTTTATTATATTTGCTGCTACGGAACCCTTTGTGCGCGAGCCCGACTCGCACTTGGCCGGTTTTATTCTATCATACAACCTTCAAACCTTTATGAAACGAGCGAACATCCTTCTCAAAAAGCTGGGAACGCACCTGTGACTCCTGGTGTGTTCTTCTGCTTCTCTGTGTTTCTGGTGCTACAGGTTTCCATGGGCGGCACCGATCACTTACCATCAGGTGATCAGTCTGCTCGTTTGCCTCCTATTTCACAAAAACGCAAAAACGGCTAGATTTAGTTGAAATTTGGTATGTTGATAGGTGGTTCCCTGGATTAATATGTGGGCGAAGCCGCAGCGGTAAAGTAGTAGAAATATTCTAGAATTATGTTATCTTGAATGTTGGGAGTGAATTACACCAATCAAGCGCATCACATCTAGACTAGCAGCAATGGTTTTTGTTCCTTGTAAATATGTAGGGTTGCTAACCGACAAATCATATTATACCATTTCACTAATTATCAGAAGTACCTAATGTATTTTTGTTGTTATTTTCATTTATTTATTTATTTAATATTTTTTGTACACACAGTAAATTGGACAAGAAAAATAATACAACAAGTAGGTACAAAGGCACAGCTTATTTCTTCAGAAATCTCTTCCAGCAGGCCCGTTATGGGAGAGTTAGAATAAAAAGTTGTGTAGACTGACTGTGTAAACACAATTAGGAAAAAGGAAAACAATAAGAATTAATAAACTATTATTTATTGAAGGAGACTCGGGGGAAGGATGTATCTCAGTAAGGTGCTGGTAGGGGTCTTGACCGTACTTCCGGGATTGCTCTGATAGCCGTGGGATGCCTCTCCTTCCCCAAGCAGCTCAACGTATGTTGCCCCCGTGTCGCTACATGCTAGCGGCCGTTTCCGGGGGCCCATTAATTGAGTTTGCCAGTCACCCCCTGCCTGTTTATCCGTATGTATCAATATTGGTCAGGGGCAGGGGCCATAGTATTTCCATAGTTTTCATCCACTAGTGCATAGCAACCCATACCCATAACCCTATCAATTGTTACCACATTTTACAATAGTCCTGCATCAACCGGGGATTGTCCTTGGGTGCACTTTTATAGTGCATACAGGGATAATTGCCGGCTGATGTCCCATCACATTTAGATTAAAATTGTTCAACGGGCCTCTGCGAGTTGGCTTCGGCTCCTCGTATGCCTTCCAAAGGTCCGGGACCCTGTGGTCCCGTGAAAGGAAAGAATAAACTATTAAACAGCAAAAATATATAAATACATAACATATAAACACCAAATAATATAATAGAATTATATTATTAGAATAATATAATTTCATTTTAGAACATAACATAAATAAGCAATTAAATAAATCCATCAATAAAATTTGAATGAATAACTCTTCTCTGTCGTTTCGCTCTTGGCAGAGCGGTCGTGGTCACGTAGAGGCATCCACATCGGTGGTAGAGGCGGACACACCTCTCCGCACGATCTCCCGCCATCTCTCCCTGCATCGCCATCGCCATGTCTGTTGGCAGACTGTCTGGTGCAGTCAGATACACGCGTTCCTACGGCTGATTTAACCTGGTCAGTCCAACGCATAGGTGATCTTCCGCGTGGTCTTGTCCCTTCCACCTTTCCCTGAACAACCAGGCGCTCTATGGAATCGTTATCCCGTCTAGAGACGAAATGCACAGTTATTAAACTGAATGTTCTAAAACTGTTCCAACAAGTAATATCGTGAAAAAATAAATGAATCTTGTTATCATTCACTACGATTAATTGTTCAGCCTCGTCTTTGAATAATTTAACTGTCACTTTTTTTTGTGATTTTGCATCATATTCCTTGCATTGTAAAAAAACGTAAAATAAGTAAGTACATAACAATTTCAACTACATATTATGCATTCTGTTGCAACCTATAATTAAGTATACTTGTAACTTGTGTAAGATTTATTAGTTGTCCTAAATAAATCAATAAAAAATAAAACTTTGTTCTAGTTCCTGGTATCTTATCATTATGACATTTTCCTTTTATCACAGGAAATAGAGGTAATCCCATCAGAGGGACCACTGACGGACAATCTGATACGTTTTTAATGTCACATTCCTATTTAATGGGATTGTGCCCCTGTAATGGACACTTGAAGAGGACCTTTAGCCATAAATCGATTTCGTTACACTATCGTATAAAAACTTAGGGATTCTTCAGTATATTATGTGACCTCCTTTTTATTTTAGTCTATTATTATATGTTTAGATACTATGGTATCAGTCATTATGGTGGCAGTAGCCTCACAGAAAATCACAGCGTTGTGTTTCGCCGCATGAGTGACGTTACTGGAGGTCTAATCCTTCTTATTCCTCAATCACTCCTTTAACCTTAAATGTCCAATATCCCCAACAGGCTGGAAACGCACTCGTAACTCCTCGGGTGCTTCAAGTGTGATAATAATGTTTGCCAGTTGGCCGACCAATCACACAAAAATCCGCCTTGTTAGGAATTTTATGTAATAAGCAGTGAGTCTTTTACCACGTTAAACAGTAACATGCTACTTCGTCCATCCCGAAAATAGTAGAAGTATAAACATAATTTTGTTGCCTTGAACAAGTTAAATTCACATCATTCGTTTTCCACGTCTAGGTTGGCTCTCCAATACTATTTCCAGATAATAGTTGAGAAGTTCTACACTACTTCTTAAAGGTCGAAAATGATCTTTACTTACATTTCCAGCCAGGATTGCAATTGTGTACTGCGGCAATGGCTCGGCTGGGGTGTATTAGAAGGAATAGGTGGTATTTAGTTAGTAAGAATTTGAAGCTGCCTTTCGCTCCATCCAGAATGAATGGGTCAGAATGAATCAGAATAAAAATATGAACTTTTTATTTAAATAAAACTTCCCGTAAATTTTTATTAATAAACTATCATTATCATCATCATCGTCATCATCAGCCTATAACTGCCCACTACTGAGCAAAGGCCTTTTCTCATACGGAGAAGGTTAGAACATTAATCACCACGCTTGCTCAATGCGGGTTGGCGATTTCAAACTTATAATTATAAATTATAAGTCCCAGTTTCCTCACGATGTTTACCTTCACCGTATGTCAGTGGTGTCTAAATAAAGAAAGTACATATAACTCGGAAAAAGTTACATTGGTACTTGCCAGGTTTCGAACCTACACCCTTATGCATGAGAAGCGGGTTCCTTAACCTCCGGGCCACCACGACACTATCTATATAATATCATAACCTATCAATTTAAATTGAATAAAAACGGTCCATTAATTCTTTATGAATGAAGCCACAAGACATTCACTTAGTAATCCAGTCTTCTAATACTAAAATTGTTGAATGGAATATTTCCCAGTTTTAGTAATATCCTCTTTTTAACGACCCGACGACGATTAAGATAAAAGTTATTTGATGTAATAATCGATATTCACCGGTCTTGATGATTTTAGACTATAGTAGATTCTCGATATTGTCTTTTGTATTTTTTTATATTATAATGTGTCCGAACGTAATCACTTAAAATCACCCCCGTTTTTCTTCTGATCAGAGCCACAGTATATTATTGCGGTAGTTGCACTCGCAACATGGTTGGACTTCTGTACCAGTGAGCACCATCCATGGTGTGATGATTCCTTGAGACGAGCACTATTTCGAATGCTGTCCAGTATAATATACATAATTAGACTCACCCCCAATATAGAGAAAATGGGTGTGATACATACATACATGCTTCTTCATCTTCATTTTTTTTATTTAACTTTATTTACGAAGTACTTGGATAGGCTTAATGCGTAAAGGAATTCTCGCTAGCCAGCTTATTCTTTTGGGTAAAAAGATTTGTTAGGCTCAAATCAAGTATTTCTTTTTTTCTCCACTTTTCTTACACCAACTTCAGACATTCGATTCGTGTTCTTTTTATAAGTTTTGATTTATAATATTAAATATTTTGAAAACTATCATAGCATTACAATAATGATTTTAAGTAGTTAAGAATAAGATTATCGAACACAAATACCTTCAAATCTGACTATAAGTCTGATGTAATCTTGTTTATCTATAAAAATACTTTTCAATTTTTTATAAATACGAGACATAAATAATTCTGTACCATTAAATAAACAGTGGCTACATGAAAATTGAACAAATAAAATACGAAAAAATCATAAAAGTAACGAGACTTATTAAAAATTCCAGTACTTCTATTTGCTTAGTCTGTCAAATTGTGTTTCAACTAAACATAGTTCTGAAATAAAAATAAAAATGGCGTACGTTAGAAAAAATATTTTATTAACATTTTAAACATTTCCCTAGGCACCGGAATCCATCAAAACATCACGTTTTAACAAGTTTAGTTATTATAATATAATATTCTGTCTAGTCTACTGTGATTTTTTCTCTTCAGACTCGTCATCACTGTATTTGTTTGGTGTCTCACCAGGCTTCAGGAGGCGGCCCACAATGTCGTATTTCTCTGTAAAAACAATAATAGATTTCATTAGCTCTTCTTGTCAAATAAGATTTCCATGAACTTTCTTCCACTCTACTGGTTTATGTGTTTTTCCGTGATAATAAATTCAAAGTACTTAATGGTATTAATGGTTGATGAACCACCATAAAGTGACTTGGGCATCATTAGCAAATTTATGCATAAACATATCCCTCTCACGAATGAGAAGATGTTTACAATAATTATAGAAATACTGAAACAATGAATTTTTTTTTAGTCAACATTATTTATATAATAATATCTAAATGGAGCCAGTATTTATGTCGAAACAAACTCAGAGGTTCGTCCCTTCTAAAGTCCAGAAAATGTCAAAAATAAAAAAGCATAATGCGTGACAAACTTCCAAGTTCATTCTGTAGTGCTCTTTTGAGACCTTGCATTATTAAATTTCTTACAAAGAAAAGCTTACCCCTGAACTGTTCCTCCCACTCCTTTGCAGATGCTACTTCATCAGGAGTCAGGTCACTAACGTCATCGTATTCCTTGTCGGAGGCAGCTACCTGACCGGTAGCTAAGCCCCTAGTGGCATCTTTACCAGCAAAAGCTGAGTACGGTCCACCTGAAAAAAAAAACAAGAAACCATCGTAAGTAAAAGGTTTTTTCTACATAGTCGATATATTGAGGACACCGATTTTGTACTTTTTTTTTAATCAAAAGGGGTTATAAGTACTAGAATCATTCTTATTTTTATAGGAGGCATGCTTTTGGCCTTATGAGCGCGGTTTGGCCTTATGAGCGCGGTTAACAGATGTTCAAACCTTCTCCTCCACTCATACATCCCCAATCCCAAAAACCCTTAATCCCAGAAGGCCAGCATGCCTTCTTGATTGCTTGCCATCAGTTACAGCGGTCATTTCCGCAGTTCCAAAAACATAATTGGTTTTTTCACATGAAATTATAATATAATATTGATGTTAAACAAAGAACAATCTGCGAAGGTGAAGCAAGGGTACGTGATTAGGAATAGATTGTTTCGTAATATATATGTAAGTAGTAATACAACAAAAAAGATTTTAGCATAGTGACAAGAATATGTTGACACGACAAACCATATATTTGAATAATTTTAATAGAAATAGAAATGAAGGCTTAGAAAAACTGTCTCAAAATAAACTATTCTTTGTGAACAATAGGTGTTTTGTCAATGTACATATATCTTATTATTCAATCTTTGTTCTGTCAATAAAAGAATATGATAATTCGTATTAGTAATGTTTGCCTCTCAGAATTTTGTTATATAGGTATAGGAAGGCAGAGCGATATTGAACATGTATGCTTATTTGAAAGCCCCGGTTGTTGTTTGAAACTAGTCGAGCTTTCTTAAAACTAAAACAATAATCAATTCTGCATGTTTTGTTTGTGTGCTTAAATTTAAAAATCAAAGATATTTATTCAGAAAACATCAACAGATTCTATAAGTGTATTGTTTCAAAAAGATTACGGGAAACTGTTTTGGCCAGAAAATAATATGTTGCGCACAAAGGATGAATACTAATGGCGTCTTGCCACTGAAGTGACCCGTCTCGACACAGATGCGAACGATAAAAATGACATTCGTTTCGAAATTTGAATCATCCCGATTCGAATTTAAATATGTGCATAGTTTTTGCTATAGACAACTAACAAGTATTGGCACTTAACATTAAACCTTATCTGTGCGCGTTTGGGTTCGTTTTCTTTTGTTTAAGGTGTCGTTTAAATTACGATTAGGTAAATTTAAATTGAATTCTTAAACATAAGTTTGATGCAATAAGGCACCGCCACCTCGGTTCAGAGCAGGAGAAGGAACGGGGGGAGTTTTCAGTCAGTAAGAGTCTGACACTCCCCCCGCCCACCCTGGGAGAAGCCTTTATTATTAGAAAAATATATTTTTTTTTGTCTACAATTTTGTCTTACGCAGTCTGAAGTATAGGTAATTTATCAATCAGGTCTTCCTTACTTGTCACCAATTACATTAATAAATAGACAAACATAAACAATGTATTATATGATTTAATATGTAAACATTGTGGTTTCAACGAACGGTTATCATTAGTTACATAACTTGTTGTAATCTAATTATATGAACAATTTGCTTCGTGTCTGTTTACATGTAATGTCGCAAAGGATGTCTGCTAAAAAAAAATTAGATCCGATTTTATACGTTATGGATATCAAAATATGGCTTTTATGATATTTTTATGCCGTCCGGTGATGTTCTTTATTACAGCATATGCCAGATAAGTTAATTTAGTTCTAAACCTCGTATCATAAATAAAAAATAAATGATCCCGCTACATAAAAATAAAATAATAAATGTATAAATTAAAACATTTCGATTTGTGTCGTAAACATAAACAAAAATATCAAAAGAAAACTTAAAACTCACAATAGAAAATCCAATACAGAAACAAAAATAACTATTCAAATATGTAAGGTATTGTGATGAAAGCAAAGATTTCGTAATAACAATGAGACAGACAATGGCCAAGTAGATGAAAAGAACATAGATTTAGATAAGGTCTCTCTTAATTTTCATCCCCACGAATGTTAAAAGAAAGAAACACATTTTTATGGGCCCAGATTCCATTAAAAGGATTTAAATTCACCGCTCCATGCATTCATTTAAATAATTGCACGCTTTTCTTTTTTTTTCATTCGAGAGCTTCGGCCCCTCCGAAAAGTATTTACGTTTAAAAATTAGTTCCGAAACCGTGTTTGCTTGAAGCGTGTCTAAATTATTACTTCCTCGGCTATAAACAGTAGCCCCTACTTACTGTCATGTTTTTTAATTTTAGTTTTTACTACGAAACTTCGGCTAAGTGATAAAATCTACCCTTTAAATTTCATGGTTTTATAACAAAAGTTGTGGTTTTTAGGCCGTTTTCATATTTTATTTAGATTTTAGGTTAATTTAAAATAAAATGGTTACAAAAGTTGGTTACTTAAATAGATAAAGCGGCCTCCTAGGGACCGGTAGATAGAAATAAATAAATCCCAATCTTGACTTGAAATATAATTTTGAAGAATTTTTCTTCGACATATTTAGATTTGGTTAGGTAGAGATAATAATTATTAAACCAGTTGAAACCTGTAAATTCAACAAGCCAACATAATAAATTAGCGAAGACATAATTCCATATACAGCCAAATATTTTGTATCACAATGGTCTATTCCCTAAGAACAGAGCATTTTATTAGTAAAAATATGTATGCTCATGACTCCCTTCAAACAGCGTAACGCCATACAAAATGAATACACTACCTATAACAAAAACAACATCAACTTTTACCGAGGTCGAATCACTTGAATCGCGACTGTCTGTTTATAAAATCAGGGACCACGTATAATTACAACGAAACGAAACAATTTGAATCTTAAATGTACGTCGTTATGGTACATTGTTGCGTAGTATTTCATTTTGGAGCAACGTTGATAAATGCAGCGTCCTCAATGTTAGTTACTGGGGGCATAGGTGATTACTAAATTATATTTATGTACGAGTTTGTTACGACTTTTGTAGATAATATTTTATTCAGAGGCAGACACTGGCACGTTTTATAAAGATAATAAATCTGAATTAATCTCCTATACGTTAATTTATGAAAAACATTATGGCTTATGTCACATAAAACATGTAGTCTTATGAGTATTAATTTGAAACAAGCCGTTAATCGATTAGTTGTAAATGCATTTATCGATTACGTGATCTCGATTGAACGGACGAGTCAATCAAAGTATTATTAAATCAAAACCAATAAAGCAGGTTAAGTTTACTCCTGCCTGCAAATTACGTGTGGGAAAGCCAGGCTTCAGCACCAACCTTTTCGCCGTGTGATTGAGGTTACCGGAGGCCCAATATATTTTCCCCGATTCCCAAATACCCTATCTTTTTATTCCTAAGAGTCCATAAAAGATCGGCAATGCTCTTCTTACTCCTATCGTGTCATAGGTGTCCGTAGGCGATGCTATTTGCTTAACAACTGGTGGCAAAAATGATGAACAAAAAAAACATTATAATATCGAACTACACGTTTTAAGTGTGGGAGAGCCATGCTTCGGCACGAATGGGTCAGCTCGAGAGGAGTGATACCACGCCCTCACCACAGAAAACCGACGTGAAACAACCACAGTGTTGTGTTTCGCCGTGTGAGTGAGGCTACCGAAGGCCCAATCCTTTCCTTCCCCCAATCCCTCATCAATCCCTGAGATTCTCCAAATCCCTTATCCCTAAAAGATCGGCAACGCACTCGTAACTCCTCCGTTGCGTCCATGGGCGGCGCTGATTGCTAACCATCAGGTAATCCGTCTGCTCGTTTGCCGAACTATTACATAAAAAAACACGTATTTATTAGAATAGTATTCCTTACATATTCAAAAAAAAAAACCCAAAGACCTTTTGTTGAGCCAAATTCACACGACAGCTGAACTGTGTCAAAGAATTAACTAAATATTTTATTAATTTCTTACTTTGTCTTCACTAATTACGAGAATTCTAATTTTAGAAACTATTGTTCAGGCAATCATGAAGCAATTAAGCCACAAAAATATGGAGATATGGTAATCGTTGCGATAAAGGCATACACTCAAAAGTGGTATAACCCCAGTGCACTATGTTTTAAGTACAATACGATAATGTAGAAACAGGAAAAGTGGAAACAAATATATGGTCTTGGACCGGCTTTACTTAGATGTCTATAGGAAAACTATATTTTTTACCAGTACAACATACAACTGTTATTACAGGATATCCTAATCCAAAAATGTGTCAATATTTACGTTAATTTATTAATGATAGTAAATACAACACTTGGCATCAGTCTGGTTAACTACAGGCTAATTTCTGACCGCACACACGCTACAGGAATGCTTCTAGAGGTGACTAAGTATTTTTTTGATAACGTTTATTTTTTTGAGTTTTCTGAATTATATGGATACTTTTCTCATCGTTATTATAATCAGAAGTACCCACTGCCTTGCAAAAACGTTTCCTAACACAGAGAAGGAGTGAAGTTATTATTAGAAATTACTTATTAGTCCAGGTTTCCTTCAACGTAATGGTTTCTATATAGGATTCTTATACAAAAGTAATAGAAGTAGAACATATTTTACAGCATTTTTATTATTTTACAATATGTTACATGCTTACCGTTTCAATTTATCATCACCTAGTGGGAAAACAAATTAAAATTAAATACCCAATTGTACGCGATACATGTCGTCTTTGTTCGAGAAATGTCCATAAAATCGCGTACATACTTGAAGAAATCACAATTAACGTTATCGGATAATACAGTACTTCATAATCATCCTACAAGTGCTTGTTAGGAATGCTAACAACAAAATGACTTCACATAATAGAATCTTATATTCAAATCAAATGAAATAAATGAGGATTTTTGTATTTTAGTTCAATATATTCAATTGTTAATTATAAATAACGATAGGATTATCGTTATGCCTCAAAGAAAAAGGATTTATTTAGGTCATACACATTGATGTCTTTTCATACCTGTGCCGTGTGAGTGAGGTTACTGGAGGCCCAATCCCGCCCCCTCCCCTATCCCTTCCCGATCCTTATATCCCCAACCCCTATCCCCAAAAGGCAACGCACTCGTAACTCCTTTGGTGTTGCGGGTGTCCATGGGCGACGCCGATTGCTTACCATCAGGTAATCCGTCTGCTCGTTTGCCGACTTATACCATAAAAAAAATACCTAACCAAACCATTCTAAATGAATATCACAAAAATCATCAAACATATTATTTTCAGGAAATATATTGATACTACAAATTCTTAATCTACACACAAATATCACTTAGTTACAGGACAGAGAATTACTTGTACGCAAAACGTTCATTTACGAAGAGTCCTAGAAACGTCAGTTACAATATCTGACAAATTATTTATAGGTGTGTTATCTTCTGTTATCAGTAGCAACCAATTCAGTATTGATGGATCGTAAACGATAACATATGCGTCAGAGAACTTGGTGTCATAAACCGTTCATGATGCCGTAAAACTCCGAGAAACTGTTTAAGAAAGTTTCTTAGGATGAAAGTTTTGATGTTTTACCATCAGATTTTTTATAAGAATCTATTTTTTTTTTTAAGTTTTCCCATAGCCTTTACATATTTTCTCTGTATACATGACTCTGATTTAAATTGGCGAATTGGAGAATCCTCATACTGTATTGTTAAGTTTAAGTGAGTGTAGACGATATTTGAATAGAAAAAGAGAGAGAGATTGAAAGAGAAAGCAAGTTAAATTTCTAGAGAATCACAGCATGTCATATGCTATTGCGTGTACATAAACATGAAGTTCGAACAAATTATTGAATTATCACTAGAAATTTCTTTTTATAATAAGAAGTGCAATGTTCTAGTAGACAATGCCGTAATCGTTCGTAGAAATCTTTGAATGAATGGGCAAGGAGAACATTGTGGGAATCGAGTTACTTTAAAAGTGTTTTCTTGCTAATACTGTAGTAAAGATACATTTTAGCTATATTCTCGAAGAATCGCAATTATTTTAGAAGGCATTAATTCCATGCAAAAACTTAATAGATCATTATAACAGTGAGCGTCTGAGATATTGCGTTACCTTCATAAAGTAACATAAGTTATATATCTATTTCATTTTCTTCTTTTTCTAATATGTATATAAACTTTATGGTATATAGAAAAATGAGATTGAATTGCACTTTTAAATATCGAACTTGTCTCCAAAGAAGACTTAGGTATTTATATTAAACCCGCTCACACCCACATATTAATTTCATGGAACCTGGCACAAAATAATTACAAACAAGCATAATTTGTTTTTGACAAATTCAAATTTGGAACATTGAATTTTTATCAGTTACGTTTATTATACTGCATAAAAAATGCAAGTCATTCAAATTGAATCAAAACACATTCACGCCAATTTGTGATATCGTCCAATTTAATAGAACGTTAGTGACGTTATCAATCTCACAGCCAGTGGTCCCCTCTGTATTTTTTTCCTACGCTACCAATCCTCTTTTTATGAACCGGTTTATGCCCATAGACCGTGACCCACTTTCAAAAAACCACAGATAACGAGAAATTCCTTATTTGACATAGCTTTGATGGGTCAAGATGCTCTAGACAAACACAACAAGATGCTCAAAACTGTTATTTTTTTCCTTTAAACAACCACGATCTTCGCTCAGTGTTATAATGATATAATTATTTAAATCATATACAAGTACCTATGTTACCACCAAGCTGTTAATATTCAAGAATACATTATCTAACGTAACAGTGTTGTTTTTAAACTACCATCGTAGACCAAGAAAAAACTGAACATGTTATGATTTTGTTATCCCTCTCTCACTCTAATGTTTGAGAAAAAAAGAGATGGCAAGATGGAACTGCTTGTTTACGTCACTATTCTATTGAGGAACAAGTTTTACAATTTGTGTTTCGAAATACAATAATAAAAATTTTCCTAGTGTATTTTTTCCAACGTATATATATATGGATTGTATTATAAATTACTATAATGTTATGAAGATGATAATTAGATGACGTAACTTGTCTGCTCAAGTACGTAATTCTAGCAAGTGTCTAGGAATTTACCTTGAAACATTAGAACCTAGGTACAAACACAAAACTCTTGAACTACATAACCTAAAATACAACAAAAGAAATCACATTCTATTAACAAACTCTTAGGAAAACCGATCCCTTTATTTGTACGTGGCAAACAAGAATCAAATAAAAAAACATTTCCCACATCATTTACTTCGAGTAAAATCGTAAAACTACGTACATTTTATTGCGCATGATCATAACCTTAACATGGCAGCCGGTATAACCCTAACAAATAGAAAAGACACTTACCGGGACCGTAAAATCTCTTGCCCTTGGTTACATCGAAAATTGTTCCGTTTACAGCGAGCAGTACCCTGCCGTCCGGCTGTGTTCCGTCATACTTCTTGATCTCAGCAACTGTCAAATCCTTCCTTAGTTTTGGTAGACTTGGAGGAGGCGCTGCCACGGTCACTTCAGATTCAAAGTTTGATTTAATAATTTTATACACGAGGTACACAATGATAGCTATTAACACAAGGTTTAGAGGGCTCATTAGTTCCTCCCATAGCGTGGGAGAAGCTGATTCTGTCTGTTCTGACATTTTGATGCGTGTGGTTGCGCCGGCCGCGTTTACAAAACTGATCAGTCGTCACGTTATCAAGCTACTAAGGTCAACGAGTGTAAGGCCGTCACTGAACGCGTATGTTTAAAAATTCGACGGGATATTTACTGAGTTTAGTAATGTGAGACCGCGATTGTTGTGACAATCTTTGTTGATTTCAACTGAGCTGCATTGTTAGCAGTGGTCGTCGTTTCGTTCAGTGCAAATGCAATGACTGCATTAACGTTTCGATTGCTTAAAGCGTTATTTTAATTAATACTTTTTAATGAAACTATAGAACAGTTCTTAATGGGTTGTTCGATACTAATAATCTGATGTAATGAAATTCCGTTTATTTATATCTTGGTCCACTGTTATCAGTATGTTGTTAAGTAACGAATATCGCCATTGTTTCCAGCATTTCATCGTGATGCTACTGTATCTAAGAAAACAAACATTATCATGACTTGGCATTTTTTGACTGTTAATAATAATTATTAAAAATATTAATTGATACTTTTTGAAGTCCCACTACATATACGGGAATGTATGGAATGGAATAAATTTTCATCCAATGACTTAAATTTGACAACTACTGGACTCGGTTCATTTTATGAATGATGAACGAAGAACAAACTAGGAAATACTCGTAAGGTACATGAGGGTATCAAGGCCTAGCTAAGGGAAATTTGTTGTAAAATCAAAACTGGTAATAGAATCAACAAGTTTTATTCGGTAATCAGTCGTTTATTTAGGCAACTACAAAACTATAACAAAAACATAGCAACTTCTGCATGAAACCTAAACAATATTTAACATTTTTTTAAACGCTCTTAATAGGCCTTATTATAATTCGGTAGGGTAACAAGGCCTGCTTCTTTAACTATGCAATTAATCAACTAAAATAACATAATTTGGTATTTGATATCAATCTTTATCCAGTCAATGGCAGAATAATACTTTAGAATTAAATGAGTAGCCTCATCTAACATCCACCACGGCTTACGAAGTCATCATAATCATCCACTGATAAACCAACACACTCCTCATGATACCACTAGGGGCATTGAGAGCACTGCCTTATGTCATCCATACTGTGTACTGTGAATGTAAAGAAAACATAGGGTGTCATGAAGAAAACCGTATGTTTTCTTCATAGGCATGGCAGTACCAACTCGATTGAGTGCCTTCAGTGTCCTTGGTTCGATCAGATCCGCGAAAAGACTTTGTTTTAATTGCTCTTAAAGGTGTTTGAAGGTTAGAATTTCCTAGATCCCTTGGTTATCTTCTTCTTCTGAATTTGTATTTTTATTCCCTGCATTGCTTTTCTTACATTCATTAAATTTATCAAAACGATCTTTGTTCACTGGAGTACCCCGAAAATTAATAGCCTTATGCTTTCATGAAACCCAGATATTATTGTTCTTTTTCTAGTCGTGCAAGTGGAAGACGATGTCTTCAGAGGAAATGCCATAAATTAGCCATCTTTTGATCACAATGCTCGCTTAGGAAGCATCGTGAACGTAGGAACTGTGAATAATGTATGATATACCTATTGAAATAATTTGAAAATAATGCAAACATTGAAGAATATATATCTATAAGTATAATAAGGCCTACTATAAAATTTTATAGGCCTTATTACCCATAGGTAAGGTATTTATGGAAAACGAAATAAATACAATTTGGACTGTAGAACGTTAATAAATAAGGCAATGTGGGACGAGCATGAGTTAACGATAATACAGCCAGTAAGTGCAAGGAGATAAGTATAATAATTTAAGAAATATTTATGTTTAACCGGAGCCAATATTTGTAAAAACGTAACGTGCGGCTACTTTTGACAACGTTTAACACGCCATTAGCGAGAGCGAGTGTGGTAGCCAACACTTGCCGCATGGTGGCACCTTTTACGTGTAATATACATGTATGTGCGTGAGATTGAGCGTAAAATCGCATTCTAAGCAAGATTTTTAATGTTTAGGCCTTATTAGCTGACAGGCTTTAATACCCGCATGTACCTTACTTGGTGTGAATTATAACCAGTTTTTAATTATGTTCGCTCGTGAAGAACATGTTAACTGTTGGACTTTGTACGAAGGTCTATATTTATACATAGTTTATTAGTGTAATTTAGTAATGAATTTAAAATTATTTTAATTTGTACCTACAATTCGTAGAGTAGGTATATCATGAATTAAACGAGACAAAAAAAATGTGTATATAAAAATTATTGTATTGCTATAATATGCAACAAAAATGCCAAACGCATCTTATATCAGTCGACCTAAGGGTGATGCAGAGAGATGTCCTGGTAAGTGCAACAGTTTAAGAGCAAAAGGTTACGATGAATTACTCCGAAAGTTATTTTACTTTCGGAGTATATAAGATATCCATAAGTTGATGTCATGATTACTACTAAAATCACTTACCACACCAAACTTAATTGTTTAAGTATAAAAAAGTCTTAGTTTTGGGAGAAAAGTCTTTTTGCATTATAAAATATAATATATGAGCTTGTAATACAACCTCTTTGGATATTCTTTTTGTATCTGGCCGGTTTTGGCATCATTATAACTTTAAATTTTAAAGAGCATACTTAATTCCAAATTCAAATTTGGGAAAAGTGTGATTAATTACTCATAATCAACAGCAGTTCGTGCACAATCAATCAGAAAAATATCAAAGTATCAACTCATTAAAAAAAGAGAATTTTCCTTCCAACGTCTTTAAATACGTAGTATCAAGTTATCGTGACGTTTTGGAAATCGTAAAAACTGGAATTGCTCTCAACGTATTTACATTTTAACGATCAAAATAATACTGATATTAAAGCGGTTAACGATAAACATTATACACGACAATGATGTATAAATCTATAGATACGTTGTCCGCGCTCTAAAATGGCAACATGAAATGAAGGCAATTTGACAACATCGCGCTTAGTCACGCACCAACCTCCCGCGCGACGCTACGTTTGTTATAATTTATATCGTGTGTGTAAACCTGTGCGAAACTAAAGAAAGCATGCCGTCGTGTGTGTTCAGAGGATGTACAAATTATACTCTAAAAGTTAAATACAAAAATGTGTCATTTCATGCGTAAGTTCACCAAACAACCTATTTTTATTTTATTTTTTTCGACGCCGGTGCCCGCCATCTTGTGGCGGCCGGCGCATGAAGGTATAGTCACGTGACGTCGGCATAACTGAAGATGTATATTTATCTCCCTCTAGCAAAGGCATTCCACTATACGATGTTATATTTTCTTTCCCTTTCTTTACTCGTAGAAGTAGTTATCTAGTATTTTCGCCGTTTTTAAGCGCCGCTATGTTGGTTCATGACGTGTCTATATATAATACGTCATTGATACACGATAATAAGAACTTAATCCTTACGTTTTCGTATTTATATTGAAGCGAATTGTGAATCCGATTGTTTTGGTACTTATTTGAAGAGTGTTGAGTTTGTGTTTGAAGAGTTTTATAGAAAACCAGTTGAAACAACGCATTATCTTGAGGGGAGAATTTTAAAAACACCTTATCCTGTACCTGTCCTGCAGCGTGATTCTGTAAGACTTCATTCTAATCTTTCAATCTGAATCCGCTGTGAGCTACACTTACGAATTGAACTAAATTGACTGCAACATTTTAATAGATAAAGTATGAGATGACGTTAAAAGTGGCATTCTATAATGTAATTTCCCCGTCACTTCGACGCTCACTTGACACTCGAACAAGATTCAAAATCAAACATATGTACAGAATCGACTTGCTGGGTCGGACGACCATAAGCGAGTGTCACACTTATACTAAGAACCACCCGTTCCTTCTCTAACTCCGAATGAGACCCAATTCTTCAGCCCCATCCTCAATACTCAAATCCCTTATAGCCGTTTAAAAAAGGCCGTCGCACGACGCACTCCAATATTGGCGTTGTCATAGGCAACGCTTTTTTATCTGTTTGATTCAAACTACGGACTATTATATTTTTAATTCAGATAAGACTGAATTCGTATCATGGTGTACATTTTAACGTGCATACAAAAAATAGACATCTTCTTATAAACACAATATCACAGTGAACTTGAAAAAATTAATGATAAATGAGCTAGTAAAAAAATGCAAAATGACGATTTAAATTTTAACACAATCCATTTCCGATTAATTATGATCCTATTAATGCGCGAGTTATCAGAACATGCAATGAATATGAAATCATATTTTGTGATCTGATGTTAAAATGAAGGTAATGACTTGTTCGTACGTTTTTAAAATACCATCGTGACTCAGCAAAAATTTTGTACACAGATTTTAAGCCTGTAGCAATAATCTTGATTATTGCGAAAGTTATTTTTGTTTATATAAATAAAAAATGATAAAATAAGTGTTTTAGACAAACAGTTTGATTTAGATATAAATATAATAAAATTGCTGCATCACCTTTTAAATAAAACGTATTAATTTGAATTGTTGTTTTTTTCATATTACTATGCAGGCTGCCATTACTATGTTAACTGTCTAACATTATAAATGCAATTATTTGTTAATATGGATGAATGGACGTTTGTTTCTCTATCACGTAAATGGACCACCAAGCGCGCCGATGGACCACCTGATGGTAGGCTATAGGTGCCGCCCATTGACTGGCTACATCAGTAGTAACTGGATTTCGTGGTATTTCAGGAATTTAGGGATTGGTCATGGAGGAGAAGGATCGGAAAATCGGTTGAGACAGTCGTTGTTTCGACGTATATGAATCTGACTGCAACAGCTGCAAGCAGCACCTCAATCATATGTTGCGTTCTTTCCAAAATCATTTTCTTAGACTATTTAGAAACCACTGACATAACATCGTTTGAAACCACTTCCCTGTACTGATATTTTAACCCTAGGTTTAAAATCACCCATCGAGCAAGCGTAGTAGTTTGCTAAATCTTTCACCATTTGCAAAAACCCCTTGGCTCAGTAGTGTGATTCTGTAAGACTTCATTCTAAACTTTCAATCTGAATCCGCTGTGAGCTACACTTACGAATTGAACTAAATTGACTGCAACATTTTAATAGATAAAGTATGAGATGACGTTAAAAGTGGCATTCTATAATGTAATTTCCCCGTCATTTCGACGCTCACTTCACACTCGAACAGAATTCAAAATCAAACAAATTTTATAGAATCGACGTGCAGGAATGGGAATTCATTAGCTTCTGATGTGATGTAAGTCTGTAACCAAATGTTATCCCATTTTTAAACTTGATGTAACAAACACATATGGTAAAGCAATCAACACGTGTCTAAACTTCTTAGGAGTAGGGATGACTATTTATTTTATGTAGGTATATTTAGTCTGGATATCCAATGCTCTGTAAG